CAGGATACTGCAACGAGAAGCCATTCTTCCTAGGCCAAGTACTGCTCATCACGGAATTTATTGGAGTCTGCAGCCTAAGCTAAGTACATTTTCAGTGTTTCCCCTCCTGTGAAATCATACATGTACTAGAAGATAGTGTAGTGGGTGCATGTTAATGTTTGTAGCAGCCTGTCTTGTTGATGTATTTGTTTGCTTTTCCTGTAACTAAGTTTGTACACGCAGCATTTTCGCCAAGTAAAGTACTTTTAATGCTACTGAGTCAGTTTCCTTGAAGTTTACTGCAAGAACAGACAACAAATAGAAATTAAAGTTTTGCCAAGCTTTACAGCTGGGCTCATCCTTGAGATAAGCTTGACGTCTCTGGGATTTGTAGTCAAGAGCATTACAGATATACGGCTCAAATCAGCCGTACCAGCCTGAAGTGAATAGCCGGACAGCATTCGGCTCACTTCGCTTCAGGTCGGTCGTTCACTCGGCTGCCTACTGCAGTTTAGTGAATAGACCCCAATGTGTTTACTGCTGTGCATTACATACTCCTGTTTATTGTCTCACTACCCACAACTGGAAAATGTCTGTGAAGGTTCTCATTCATCCAGGTCATGGTACATCTGTAGAAAATAAATGAAAACAACTGGACTTGCTGTATTTTTCTTAAAGATGTTTTGCTTGTCATCTGACTAGCTTTCTAAATTCAGAATGACTTGTACAAGAATTTTCTGGATAATAAATACGGTGAATGTTGCTCCAGTCAACATAATGCTGTTTTAACACCTCTCTATGGGTTTCTTAATAACACCTGCTAGCTCCAATCATGCAAATGCAATCAGCACCTTACCTCTCTGAGGTCTCTGACCCCATGCTGGTTATGATAAACAAATTATGTTGATTGGAGCAACATTCACCATATTTATTCCAGATAATTATTGTACAAGTCATTCTGAATTGAGAAAGCTGGTCAGATGGCCAGCAAAACGTATTCAAGAAAAATACAGCAAGTCTAGTTGGTTTGATTTATTTTCTACAGGCACAACTGGAAAAACCTGAATTCAATCATATGGAGGGAAATCCACATACTTTTGGCCATGTGTAGTATGTTTTAACCAGCTGTCCACAAAACGTTTGGAATACATTGTACAGTAATACCTCGGTTCACAAACGCTTCTGTTCGGGAACAGAAAATTCGGCAAAAGTTTGCTTTCGGGTGACGAACACGACCGCGGCCATCTTCCCCGCTATGACACGTGGCCGTGGCTTCCTCTAGTCGAGATTGCGGTCGCAGACAGACCTGTGCACACTTGCTTTGAAGCTTTTTTGTGTGCTTTTTAGCACATACAGTTCTGTACAGCATTATGCATTACATTGAACCTTATGGGGACATTTGATTCAGTTCGCGACCAATTCGGTTTGTGACCAGAATTATGGAACAAATTGAGTTTGTGAACCAAGGTACCACTGTATACGGTGATGAAAGAGGTTGGGAATCCTTGAGTTGGAAAATCATAAGTTAGGTGTTTTGTGTTACCAGAACACGTTTACCACCACCTAGAGAATTTCCAAGTGGCACGGCCTGGTGTACACAAACACATCAAAGAGTTACATTTTCACGTTTGGCAGAAATGTTCCTAATGTACTGATTGTAGAGCAATCAATGTATTTCATGCTGTTGTTTCTGGAAGATGGAGAAACGATGGGATACAAAAAAATACTTTGAGAGTTTCTACAGAAATTGCTATAATTACTTCTGAAGGGACTATAGCATGCAACCTTCAAAAGCACCGGCACCAGCAGATGTGAGCACAGGTGCAGCTTTGAGTTTGGTCCCACTGCTGTGATACAATAACAGAACTGCCAAAATCAATGCCGTGTTCTCAGTTCCCGCACAGAATTTCGTTGCCACGCTAGAAGTGCCAGGGGATCAGCACAGCTCTTAAAGAATATTGGCTTCCAAAAGGTCACCAGACCCCTGTTCAGCTTCATACACGTGCATGACTTTCCAGCTCTTGTTTTAAGGTATTTAGCATCATGTTTTAAAGCGTAACTCCATTTTGTTAAAATTTGATGTAGCATATGAAGATGCCATGAAAGCAACTTCATAATTAAACCTGCTTTTACATTTGCAGTACGTAGTCACTAGTTTCTGTGTGCCAAAGAAAATTTAAATTGTTATCCACAGGATTTTGGAGACTGAATTCATTAGAAAAGCTTATTGCAACTCCAGTCAGATACTTGCACAGGGATCTAACATTATGACAGGGGGAGATGCCACAGTATTGTATACATTACCAAGCATGTGTTAATGCCTCTAATTTAATATTCATGTAGAAAAATATAATCTGTACTGCCATGGTCTACACTCCAGATCAACAGAGCAGAGTGTGAACAAGACTGCTAATTCTCAGGAATTTCTGTCTGACTCAACCCCTGGGGTTGCAGTAGCTGGTGGACATTGAGGGGGGGTACCTGTCTTCTCCTTTTTGTCCTTTTCCATTCCACTCTTCCTTTCCTTTGCTGTCTATCTTGTTCTCGTCCTTACACGAATAGGAATAGCTGTCACACCAGAATAGGGCCTGCTTGTCCCCACTTGATTGTCCCTGAAGGTGGAGATCTGACCATTGCTACCGCGTCATGGTGGGAGCCCTGAGGGTAATATGATATCAGTAGAACTTCTCATGCCCAGTATTGTTTGTCGGTTGCGGCCCCCCTATGACCAGCTATGGATGTGGGGCTGCATCTGAGACTTGAGATGCTTTGTGTACTTCGTTTTCTCTTGCGGGTATGGCCGGGTTTTTTCTTTGTTTTTTTAAATACATGTCATAATGTACATTGTCTGGAATTGCTGTGTATTTTACACTCACATGCTGTTCTGGGTCGTTGAACTTTGTTCATATCATCTTTTGTACATTTTTGTTATGTGCTTACTAATAAACAGAATTAAAAAAAAGAAAAGCACTAAGTCCCTGCACCCAAATGCATGTTCTTGCACGAGTAGCGCTGTGTTCAAAAACAAAATGGAGCATTTGTAAAGCAGAGTCAATCTACTTGCATTTTGAACTCTAACATTTTGTTTGTTTTCCAGTGTCCATAACTCGTAAAGACAACAGTAAAAACAAATTGTATTAGAACAACTACTGATCCTATGCCCCTAGTGAAGTCCAAGAAACCGACTTTATAGCAAGTACAAAAAATCCTGTTATTTTATGAACTAGCCAACAGGTGCCGCTCTACCATAAACATTTGCCAGACTTGTTTTGGGTGCTTTGCTTAAAAATCTAATTACAGAAATAGTCAGAGAAGCGGTTCATCGTTCCCCCTGCAGAATTGTACCCCAACCTGCATCTGTGTACAACAGGTTCAGTTCCTGGCATCTCTAGTAAATGCCACTTAAGATGTTGTTAGATAAAAAAAAAACTGCGCTAGGAATCAAATAACACTCTAAGAGCAGCTGTGCTTAATAGGTGAGTACACCCAAAATAGGAAAAAAAGAAAATAGCACTGCGCTTCACAAACTCAAAAATGATATTTCTAAAATGTGAAAAAAAATAGTATGAAATGTGAAATTGTCATACACAACACCTGTGTTGCACAATGCCTGTCCTGATGATGGTAAGCTCTAGGTCTAATGGTCTAGGCACTATAAACCATAAAAAACATGGGAAAAAAAAAATAATAATAATAAAATAGGGACCATAAAGCTCTGTGTCAAACTATAATTGCATGGTGGTGCATACACCTTCTAATGAACTAGGACAAGTAATGGGGAAATAATTAAACCATCTAAAAACACTTAAATAATTATATGCGATTATACCAATTTAATAATTCCTTAAAAAACAGTTCAAATCCAGTTCGATGTTCAAACCTCTAGGGACCATAGTGTCTAACAAATATATCCACTTTGTTTCTCTTTGAGAGATTTCTCTTTTTAAATTATTCCCTCTCCGGTATTTCATAGCTCTATCAACTCCACAAAATTTTAGACCCGATGGGTCCTTGTTGTGGCACATTTTGAAATGTTTAGATACACTATGTTTAGTGAACCCATTTTTAATATGCACCACCATGCAATTATAGTTTGACACTCCCACCTGCCGGATTTGTGGTGTTCCTCTCCCTGTAGGCGGCTGTGGATTTTTTTTCTTCTATTTAGCATATCTATGTGGCAGGATCTGTGAATGGAGACACGGCAAGTCCCATCAGCCACCGCAGCAGAGGGACTTCAGTGGAATACAAGTGCACTGGCAGTATCCTTGACAGGAGGAAGTGTCACTGGACTACATGTCCGTAACTTGGACAAGAGGAGCAGTCTACAACAGTTAGAGCATTGCACCCACGATCTGATCACGATTGCAATGCTTTACTGGCTCTTATGCAGAAAAAATAATAAATGCACATTTTTCCTTTTACGAGTTAGAATGTTACGAAAGTACAAATTAAATACAGTGTAACAGTTTATAATGTTCTGTAGCTACAGACCACAGTGTAATCCTTTTTACAGTTCGAGTTCAGCTACAAGAGTGACAAGCTACCCTCCTGAAAAATAATTCCTATAATTTAATTAACTTTTTTTTTTTCCATTGAAACCCGGTTGTCAAAATAAATAATAAAAAAAAGGCAGAAAGTTCATAGAAAATATTTATTTAGGGATATCAATCAATGAATCTCTGAAGGCAATGCATAAGTCATCTGGTGCAGTAATAAACAGAACACGTAGAATAAGATTATTAAAAACACATTATATATTACATATTAATATAATATAGGAAGTTAACAGTAAACCTTTTAAGAAACTACTTTTCTAGGTTCTAGTTGATTTAAAGAATTATTTTGTTTTCCTGAAAATGTAAGTGGTAGGAGAACCGTTGAATAACTAAATAGCTGTCACAATGTAGAGCGATGAACGCATTCACTTGCCGGTAGACCGATGAAATGAGGCGCTTTTGAAAGCAGCAGGACAAGCCACTTGGTACCATGTTGATGAAACATTGAAATGTCTGCATCTTACAAAGTCATTTACTTCAGAGTTCATTGTGCGAGAGGCCACTCTTGGAGATGCGGCTGGACAAGTCCTGAAGATGTTTTTTAACCTAAATGAAAAATACATAAAAAGTACAGTTATGTTTACAAGGCTGATAAATACATGCCCATCAAGTGAAGTTTAGTCTAATACATTCTACTTTAAGAACAAGAAGACAAGGTAAACTGTCAGCTTATCTTTATAGGTGGGGAAAGTTTTCTTCTTGCCCCGATACCGAGATCCAGGCTAGGTATACATTGGTAGATGTCTTCCTTAGGACGATGGGCAGGCACCTGTCAACTTTGGTGCTGGGCCCACTGCCTTTTGCATTACTACTCTGCATTTTCTCTGAAGAAGACCTGCCCTACATATCTTCTCACATATTTCACTGCATGGTCGAAGAGAACCGTCACAGTAAGATTTTCTGTTTTTATGTTAGACTTAGGGAATCATTGGTGTGGTGTATTGCAGCACCTCCTTGTATGTATAATGTATGCAAATGCAAGCAATAAACTTCCCCTCTGTGCTCCCTTTTGGTCTTTTAAATGTACCACTAAAAGGTTTTGTTATATCTGTTTATACCTGCAAAAAAAAACCCCCAAAAAAACAAAAACTTGGTTCCATCAGAAATTCAGAGCTGCCCTGTGTCCTGTGCACAATTCTGGTGTCATGTCAAAAGGACCATTTTAGCCTTCCCTGTTCTTATCTTGGAATACAAGTCAAACATGCTCTAGCCAGGGGAGAGCATATTGCAGACACAGAGTGAATCTGGTGCCCTTCCACTGCAAGTCTGATTTCAAGCTATTTAATGCTTCAATATACGATAACCACGGCGTATGTCTAGGAACATGTCTGACATTTTTGTATCTTCAAGAGATAAAATTTATCACCGTGATTGCCCTTCAAACAGGCGTACACCTTGTCAAGTACATTTTTAAACCGGTAGCATACAGAAAATGGTGATAGCAATTTGTCTCCATAGGAAATCTGCCACAGGGAGCTTGCAGCAAAAAGTCACTGCTTAGCGCTATGTAGCCCAATCGTTGGATGGTCATTAGGAAGAAAAGATGAAGCAGGATAACTGCTCCTACTGTGTCTCCATAATGTCAAAGAAGATTTCTTGGTAAAAATTGCATTAGTCGATACAAGAGCTCTTACACATGTAACTACTTCATCATAGAGTATTTAGAGACTGGTCTTCCCAACTGACCCAAAAGTCAGAATTAGAACAGTGATAAAAGTATAATCAGTGTGCAGAGTGTGGAATTACAGGAACGTAGGCAGGCGAGCAGCAGAAAGGTAGAACTGAGCAGCATCACATTTGTGACACAGTCAATATGGCACATTAACAATTCAAGCCCCTTCAACACATCAAATGTCAGGGGTTGAAGAACGTTTTACTGCTGCTGAATACAGGTTTTGTACTCTACCAGGTCTCCGTTCCTAAGACAATAAAAACTCTTCAGGGAGAAGGAGTCAGTAAAATTATTCCCACCATTAACTTTTGATAAATATATTAGGATTACTCCATACATGAAAGGGTGGAAGGTCCTATACAAAAGAACAAAAAACACAAAACAAAAAAACCACCCCACTTCTTGACCACCAGCATAGATAAGGGGGATTACACTAGAACTGATCAGGCTATTGGCATTGAAATATTTAGAACAAGCAGTAAATATACCGTCACTGTACCTTTTAGGGCTCATGCACATGGATGTATATAAAGGCGTACAGTGTAAAATACACCTGTATTTGCACCATCCGGAGTCCCAACTTGGAAGTTTCATGTTTCGGAACTTAAGCCCAGACACATGTGCGTCTTAATGCCAGAACACCTGTATACCCACCTACAGTGTATTACGTTAACACAATCCTATTAGGCGCAAAAACGCAGCAGCTGGGGCTGCTGTGCGCCACAAATACAGGCGAATTTATGCTGTGTGCCCATACCCCTGTATTTAGGTCCATGTGCATGAGCCCTTAGTTGTAGGCACTGAGGAGCAATTCATCATCAAAGTTCATGGCAGAAAGTACTTTGTTTCATTTCAGTAGCTCTGCTCAATTTGTTTGAAGGTTTTAACAGGGTCTCTGCTTTCCCTAAAGTATAACTAAAAGGAAACTTTTTTTTGTTTGTTTTTGATCGAGTGGTGAGGGGTTAGAACAACGATCAGGTTTATATTCCTGTCTGTCAAGGTTAATTTGTCCTCATCACCACTCTCATCAGAAATAAAAGCAAGTTCAAAATTTGCCACCAGAACAGGAATAGAAGGGAAATCGTCCAACGGGCACACCTGTTTCCATGGCAACTGTTTAAGCGGGTATTTCGCGTACATGGAACAATTATCCTCTCACTCCCTGTTGAGTCTACCGATGTAAAAAAAGAAGAAAAAAAAAACCCTGGCAGTGTTTTTACCCCTTCTCTATCTAAAAAAAACATTTTGGCTTTAGTTATACTTTGATGATTGTGGCTACGTTTTGAGGCCATTTTAGAAGCAACACTACATAGAGGTTTTCTTGTTTAGGACTCATTCATACTTGTCTGTTCATGCCACATGTTCCTATTAATGAGGGATACATGAACTGCTATTGCTCATCTTTTCTGAAAATGTGAGTAGTGCATCTGCCAATGCTCTCACTACTTTCAAATACCTGACTCAGAATAAACGCAATGTAGGTGAAGTCAGAACGTCTCATCTCTATATGTGGTCCTTGGCTCTGAGTGCAGAAGAAACAGAATAGCATTTTCTGAAGGTCAGCAATGGCTTCCTTTCTATTTTTCTTGCGACAGGTTGGCAGGATGAGCAAGTCAAACAGACGAAGCCCTGTCTCCACTCAAACGTCTCTCCACTCTTCAGTAAAACAACTGCTACACATGCTCACCTTGTAGCCCATCTCCTTTATCTTCTCCGTGAGGGCATTATGTTTCTCTTTGCTCTTCTTGATGTGTTCCTTGTCGCCGTTTTCCACAACATGTTTCAGCTTCTCATGTGAGATTTCGAGTTGCTTCTGGTAATGTTGGTGTTTTTCAACCTTGGTTTCAAAGTGTTTTAGTTCCTCCTTTAGGAGAGAGAGGAAATTGTGAAAGACGCGGTCGATGCATTACCAACAAGCCCCTAGGATATAGATGTATGGTCAATATATTGATAGTAACACTTCTACTGAGCCACACTAGGGAAAGGAAAGGGATAAAGTCCTACGTAAATGTAAAGTAGATCTCTGGGCTCTTCTTAAAATGTGGTTGCATAAAACGGTCTGGTCTGTGGACAGCTGTTAAAAAACAATTGTGCCACTGTTTTATTGTCATCTGTTTCCATGATGTAAATGTGCTGCTATGAAAGAAAAATACCCCCCAAAAAAGTAGAAAAATACTATTAGCATCATGGCCAGTTCTAGTGAAGTGCAGGTACCAGAGTTATGTACAGCTCTGAAGAGTGGTGCTGCAAATATGGAAGACACAGTTGTGGTAATGACCAACAGATTTGCACTACAATGGAGCTGGGCTTTTGAGTCTGTAGAGCAATGGTCTATGACCGGATCAGATGCATGTTGGGTGCCAATGCTGTGGATATATTGAGTGCCCATATTTCAGCATGGTCATCAATTCAAAGGAAGAGCAAAATGTCAGGGAATGTTTGCACTGAAATAGATGGACACACAAGCACACACACTTTCCCTGGAGTTAAATTTCAACCCATTTATCAGATGGAAAAAACTAAACAATCAATCCATCTTGCAGCATTGTAGAGAACATCAAACTTCATATAAGTGTCATAGAGTCAATCCTCAGGGAGGATAACTGAGGGCTATCTCTACTTAACAGTGAGCGCATAAACTGACTGTGTCCCCAGTGGAAATGTCTTCCATCAAAAATAAAAAAAAGACAACTGTTGACAGTCAGACTAAATGACCTGCAGGACCCGGTGACTCTGAAGACTTTATCGGTTTTATTCCTTACCTTAAATGATTCTAATTCATTATCAGAAAAATTTGCGCTCTTTGCCATATCCCATAAATCATTGACACGAGGCTCAGTAAAATCTGTAACAAACATGTAATACAAACTGTGAATATTAATGACGCAAGTATTTTTGCTCTTACAATTCATAACTGAGAAAGAAAAAACTCTACGGAGTAGGTTATCCTGGCTTGCTTAATTACATATACCTAAAATCAGCTATAAATGGTGTATTTCCAACTGCAGTTAAGAGGAACACTCCACTATATGTTTGTTATGCGTCTTCATTAACACAGCATAATGGAAAATAAAACATTTCCTACCTTTCTAGTTGTTTATCTGGAGCAGGATTATACATAGGATTCTATATGCAGCTTCTATTGCTTAGAATAGATGGCAATGTGGAAATAAAAGGACAGACTTGAGGGACATTAACATACAATGTACCACCCAGGTCTGAAGATTTTTAACACTTTTTAACAGCTTGCAACGGATACTGAAATCTGCCAGCATAGTACAGACAGGGTTAATTATGGCAAAACATAACTACATAGCCCACTCCTTAAAGTGGCACTAAACTCTGGAGTTATATTTGAAAAATACATTGAAGTACCTCAACTATTAACAAAAATGTAATTTGTTTATCCCTCGGCTGTAGAGCCTCAAACCATCTATCTGAATTGGTGCTGACACTGTCCTTCCTTCTAGAGGGTGACTGCTTTTGTTCCCCATGGTCCCTGTGTGTGTTGTAAAGTAGTCACTGCTCCAAGCTCACTCCTGTGATGGACTACAATCTCAATACAAATTAGTAAACCATTGGTGAGACTGTAGTCCATCATAGGAGTGAGCTTGGAGCGGTGACTACTTTACAACACACACAGGGACCATGGAGAACAAAAGTAGCCACCCTCCAGAAGGAAGGACAGTGTCGCACTAATTCAGAGATGATTTGAAGATCTACAGAGTGATACACAAATAATACATTTTTTTAATAATTAAAAAGGGACTTGAATGCATTTTTTAAGATTTAACTTCTGAGTTCAGTGTCACTTTAGGATTACAAGGGTAATGCTAGGCATGCTTTTTTCAGCAAGTAATAAGGTAAGCAGCAATTTTTTTTTGTAAGGTATGCTATGTGAATGAGATCATATAACACATATAAAGTAGGTGGTGTCTAATTTAGCTGGAAAAGTGGAAATACGCTAACCACTTTGCTACTGGACAAATATTTACATTTTTGCTCACACATTAAAATCAGAATTTTTGGCTAGAAAACTGCTTAAAACAGAAATAGAGAATGTATATATATATATAAATATAAATATAAAATCTGAAAAGCAGAAGCCCTGGAATAAAAAATAAATACAAATAATTCTAATAATATGCCAGTTGCAATTTTTTATTTCATGTTGCATGGAAATTGCGTAAAAAGGTGTCAAAACGATATTTGTGGTTAGGAAAAAGAATACACCAAAATAACATTTTAGCACACACAGTATAATAACCAATCTTTCTGTAAAATATAAAGACGTAACCATTTTCAGCTGCTCTACAGCTACCTGATCCCTTTTATGTAAAAGGCGGGCACTGACTGCAAAGAACAATACCAAGAGCTTGATTTTTTTCACTTTAGTAAAACGAACACAGACACACTAGTGGTAAAGTGGAATAGCACTTTCGTTGGACACTACACATTTGGATTCTCTCTATGAAAAACATGGCAATGTGATGGTCACCTTTTCTGAGGATAGTCCTGCTTCCAGCAGCAGGCTGACCATACGTTTGCATCTATCGTTGCTATAAACAAGCAGTTCCTGACCATCAATAGGGTGCACTCTTTAGAGACAAGACACCTGCTCTGCTTTTAAAAGGGGAAGTAAGGGGAGAGTTAAACAGTCTTCCAAATATTTAAATCCGGTGTGGGACACTGCAGCTGCCCCATGCTGGCTCGAAGGCTGAGAGATGACTCGTCATGTGACTGCTGATCAGTCTGTTCCTGGAGTCTGCTAGACTTTCCTGTGACCCAAAAGAGAAGCAATGCCCCCCCCCCCAAAAGAAGTTTGACTTGACTACTATTTTAACTTAGCAATCTGACTTCTGGCAGCTGGGAGCACATTTTACAACAGAACCGCATAGGTTGCAGATAATATTGCTGAGAACAGGACATGTCTTCAGAAGAGGTATTGCATCATATTGGCATTTTTAGAGGCTACTGGAGCTAGTACAATTTTTTTTCTTTTTCTATAGCATAGAGAAGGGTTAAAGCCCCCTTAAGGGGGTTGTACGGGTCCTGGTCCTGTTATGCATTACATTTTGATGATACCTGGATGCTTTGTACATCAATCTGGGCTCTTTAGATTTTGCATGCCCCAATAGGGGAGATTAAGAGGTGGTTCTGCACAGGGGCGTCCCGAGGCTGGGTGTCACCCGGGGGCAGGGACCGGGTGACACCTCGTCGTGATGTCATCACACACGCGTGTGATGTTGCCGCGCGTGCGATGACGTCATTGCGCATGCGCGGTGGTCTTTTTGACGCCTGCCCCCGGCCATCTTGGTTATGGACGCCAGCAGAGAGAGGAGGGGACGTTCACCCGACACTGACACTCTCTCCTGACACTGTCGGGCTCTCGGTCCGTGACAGGCAAAAGAAAAAGTTATCCCTTCAGAAGTGCTTCTGCAAGAGGCTCGGTATGATGCACAGGGACGTACCTCTACCACCAGCATATCCTTCATGGCTCAGTTTCCGCAGACGCTCATATCCATGGTTGATGCTGTGGAGTTTCTCTTTAAGATCCCCATGTTTGCTGTGCAAGAAGTCTGTTTTTAGCTCGTGTTCATCTGGACTGATTACATTTTTGTGAACCTCTGTTAATAAGAAAAAAAATTACTTTACAATACATTCAGCCTGATCTCTCATTACATTTAGCATTTTGGATTATTAAAGATGACAAAGTAAGCAGTCATCACCTGGACAATACAAACTGAACACATAATGAAAAAAAAAATACATTAGCAGAGAACACCTACAGGTGAAACTCGAATAATTAGAATATCGTGCAAAAGTTCATTTATTTCACTAATGCAAAAGGTGAAACTAATATATGAGATAGACTCATTACATGCAAAGCAAGATAATTCAAGCCGTGATTTGTCATAATTGTGATGATTATGGCTTACAGCTCATGAAAACCCAGATCCACAATCTCAGAAAGTTTTTGGCAGTGTGGGCAGGTGCCAAGTCCTGCTGGAAAATGAAGTCAGCATCCCCATAGAGCTCGTCTGCGGAAGAAAGCATGAAGTGCTCCAAAATCTCCTGGTAGACGGTTACATTAGTGAAATAAGTGAACTTTTGCACGATATTCTAATTTTTCGAGTTTCACCTGTAGAGTAAAAAACACATTTCAAAATGATCAGCAAATTTAAGAGATAAAAAAAAGGCAAAACTATAATAATAAGAGAATTGGCCATGTCCCTCCTGCATTCTTTTTAGTCAGTGAGGCTGCCCATCACATTAACCACGTCAGGATTTTAAACTTGATATGTTCTAAAAAAAACATCAACATCTTTTTAGGATGCAGCTCTCCTTCCCCTAACCCTCCTGCCCACTACCTGTGATTGCTTTGCATTAGACTGTGAAAATGCAAAAAATTACACCTGAAGATGGAATGCATCAAAGTGTCACCTTTCATCACTTAAAGAAACCTTGCTTTTTTTTAAATAAAAGATATTTAACCCTTTGATTACTCCTAACTTACCTGTTTTTCAGGTTTGTTTTAACTTTAATATTGTTTCACTTTTTTTTTTTTTTTAATCTTCACTTTTCTACCTTCAGCCTTGCCCCCCCAAAAAAAAAGGACCCAATTGAAGAAAAAAAAAAAAAAAAAAATGTCCCCCCCCATTTGCAAATAACATTGCCATGCTTTGTACCAGAAACATTTTAAATGGGTCAAATTGTAAATGAAAATGTGTGCAACAATATATATTTTTTTTCTGTAATAAACTAACACTGGTCAAAACACACACGCACACACTTTATCTCCAGATTTCATAGACAAAAATAAATAGAATTTTTGTTTTGCAAAACATTACCGAAAGAGAGCCTAGTTATCTCAACCCCATCCCTCCCCCCCCCAAAAAAAAAACCCCCAGCCATCACGCCACAAACACAGAGGAGAAGTGAATATCACAAATTATCTGGTTACAATGTCACCTGGAATTGGGTGGGATATATTAGTCAGCAAGTGAACATTTTGTCCCGGAAGTTGAAAAATGGGCAAGTGTAAGATTTTAAACAATTTTTTACAAGGGCCAAATTGTGACGGCTAGATGCTTGGGGGTCAGGATCTGCTAAAAGTGGTCCAAGGAAGGAAAACCAATGAACCTGCGACAGTGTCATCGCCGGCCAAGGCTCAATGATGCATGTGGGTTACGGAGGCTGGCGCATGTATTCAGATCCAATAGAAGAGCTAATTTAGCTTAAATGGCTTGGTGCCAGATACCACAGCATACCTTCAGGGGTCTGGTGCAGGGGGAGGCAACCTTGGCTCTCCAGCTGTGCTGAAACTACAAATCACATCATGGCTCTGCCTCTGGGAGTCATGTCTGTGGCTTGCAATGCCTTATGGGATTTGTAGTTTCAGCTCAGCTGGAGAGCCAAGGTTGCCTACCCCTGGTCTAGTGAAATCCGTGCCTCGATGGGTTAGGGCTGTTTTGGAGGCAAAACGGGAACCTACTCAATGTTAGGCAGGTGGTCATAATCTTATTGCCGATCTGTGTATTTTTTAACAGTATGTTCCATGTAAACTGCCCCATTTGTAACAGGTTGCTTTTCTGCATGTAAAAAGTTAAGTGTTGTCCTCCTCAGTCATAGCTGAGATCAAGAAATAAAAAAAGAAGTCATATTTTTTTTATGATGCATTGACTGTAGTGATCTCAAACGTTTACAAGCCTTGAAAAATGCAAAAAGTTGAGGTGATCTGATACCCTAGCACTTACCTATAAACACAAAAATGTGTTGGACTTACCACTTGATCCCTCTGGCGCTGATATGGCAACATGCAAATAGCAATGGAGCAAGCCTTAAACCCACACTCCAAAATATAAAACCCATCAGTCTGTGTGCTTTACTTTGTCAGGTCTGGAAATATATGCAAAATTCAGATGCCAATAAGGCCCATCTAAACCCACAAGCACTTTTAGGTTCCCTATATCTAAATAGCTTTCTGAAATGATTACTGAATAGTGATGGGCTTGGGCATGTTCGCAGCTCCACGTGCCGAGCCCGCCAGGAAGCTGACAGCGCCAATTACAGGTACTGAGACATTATCCCGGTCCGCAGCTGCAGAGATCGGGATAATGTCTCAGTACCTGTAATTGGCGCTGTCAGCTTCCTGGTGGGCTCGGCACGTGTAGCTGCGAACACGCCCAAGCCCATTTAAAGTCCATCATTCTACAGTGAGGAAGGTTATTCACAAGAATTGGAAAACAATTCAAGACAGTTGCCAATCTTCCCAGGATTGGACGTCCCAGCAAATTCAACAGTGCAATGATCAGAGAAATTGCAAAAAATCCCATGGTTACATCTCCGACTCTACAGGCCTCAGTTAGCATAGTAAATGTTAAAGTTCATGACAGTAAAATTAGAAAAAAGACTGAACAAGAATGGTTTGTTTGGGAGGGTTGCCAGGAGAAAGCCTCTTATCTCTAAAAACAAAAACATGGCGGCACGGCTTAGGTTTGCAAAGTTGCATCTCAACAAACCACAAGACTTCTGGAACAATGTCCTTTGGACAGACGAGACCAACGTGGAGATGTTTGGCCATAATGCACAGCGCCACGTTTGGTGAAAACCACACACAGCATATCAGCACAAACACCTCGTACCAGCTCATGAGATGATTTTGACTTGTTTTACAGCCAGAGGACCTGGGCACTTTGTAGTCACTGAGTCAACTATGAACTCCTCTGTATATCAAAAGTATTCTAGAGTCAAATGTGAGGCCATCTGTCTGATAGCAAAGCTCATCAGCTTGGCCGAAATTGGGCCATGCAACAGGACAATGATCCCAAGCACACCAGCAAATCTACAAGAGAATGGCTGAATACAAAAAGATTCAAGGTGTTGCACTGGCCCAATCAAAGTCCAGACCTCAATCTGATTAAATGGTGTGGTGGGACCTTGAAAGCTGTGCATAAACAAATGTCTGCAAACCTCAATGAACTGAAGCAATGTTGTAAAGAAGAGTGGATCAAAATTCCTCCACCACAATGTGAAAGACAGAAAACAATTGCTTCAAGTTATTGCTGCTAAAAGGTGGCTCTACAAGCTATTGAATTGTAGCCCCCATCACCTTCTGTGATATGGCTACTAGACATTTAGTGATTTCCAGGGCTGTAGTCAGCCTGGCTGGTTTATAGTGGCATTTGTCTGGTTAATTCCAGGTGTCTGGCATTGCCTGTACCCCCCTGGGCGGAGTGCGAGCTTGTCATATTGTGGGACAGCCAACGAGAGGCACTATAGTGTATGTACAGCACAGCAGCCAATTACTGTTTCTCTCAACCAGTGGTACATGCTGGGGATAGGGTACATATACTGGAGGGATTTGCCATGTTCTGAGACCAGTTGGGAGCAGCCATGGATTAGGGGTGGGTGCGAGGGAAATGTTTCCCTGAGGCCTTCAAACATGGAGGATGCCTGTGTTGCTGTCAGAGGAAGAGACCCAGGACCAAAGATGGCTCTTGAAGTTTCCTGGAACTTAAAGTGACATTAAACCCTCAGATTTTTTAACATAAAACAATAGTGTAATGTGCGCCTTACTGTAATCCATGGTTGTTTCCCTTCTCTTTGCTGCTCTTCCTTTTAAATCTGTATCTGTTCTCATGCTCTGCAGAACTTCTGTTTTGCAGCAGACTGCCTTGTCTCAGGAATGGATACACGGTGTCTGTGTAGACGTTTGTATAGGCTTGTAACCTGAGCCAGCACTACAGGAAGAGGCCCTGAGCTGAAAAGGGACGTTCTCCCCAAGCATGAGAAGACATGATGATTTAAAAGGAAGAGCAGCAAAAGAGAAGGGAAACAACCATGGATTACAGTAAGGCAAACATTACAGTATTGGTTTATGTTAAAAAATCTGAGGGTTTAATGTCACTTTAAGGGACTTCAGGGGCATGGCCGGTGTCTCTCCTGTAGAGGATCTGTCTTCATCCTTGCTCATCTGCTACTTCAGTTGCTAGCCACTGTCTCCCAAGTGGATCTACACTGAAATGTTAACCAGGTCTAGCAAGTCTGGAGTCTATGTCTGTGACACCCTGGAAGTCTAGCATCCCTATACCCTCTCTCGCCAGTGAAGATGTTCAATAAAAGTTATTCAGCATTGTACTACTGGAGCGGACATCAGCTATTGTGGGCACTAGAAGAAGGGCGGTAAATGCTAATGGTTGGGCAGCTGAAGATCATACCTAGACACACTAGAGGCGAACCGGGCATATTCCAGCAGCTCCTTCGGGGGTGAGCGCTACAGAATCATAAAGGTGTACTTTGTTTTTCACCCATGACTTCTCCATTTTGGGAACAGGAAAGAAAACACAGTGTAATATGTCATGAGTTGTTCATCTGAGGTTGTATTTATCTAATTCTAATGATAATTATTATGTCCTGATCCTTCAAACCATAGAATTCATAATTACCAGGGCTCGAAAAATCCACTCGTCCACTCGTCTGTGACGAGTGGACGGTGGAGCCCGACGAGCAGCTTCCAATTGTGTGTTAAAGAAAAAAAAATGTATATAAAAATGAAAGAATTATAGAGAAATAAAAAAGCATTAAAAAAATTAAAAAAGAAAAAACATTTTTAAGTCCCCGCCACCCACATACACACGTAGATATGCGTCGGGTGCGCCTACGTGCGAAAACGACGATTGCGCCTATTGTGCCACGCATGTTACATATCGCCGCAAATGTGAGTGAGAGCAATAATTCTAGAGCCATTAATCACTGATAACACTAAACTGATGAGCAGTAAAAGCATTTTAATTGTCGCGTATGGGCGTTTTTTGCGATTTTGCGTGGGGGCGCACGCAATTTTAAGGCTTGACATGTTTGGTGTCTATTTACCCGACGTGACCCCGATTTTTATGTTGTACTAAAAATATGGGTAAGAATAAATGTTTTATAACATAGGGAAACTTTTTTTTTTTTTTTTACATTTATGGTACTTTTTTCATTATATAGTTTAAAAAAATAACCCCACGTGGGGTCACAAAACAAAGCTCTATCTGTCCCCAAAAAATTTTAACATATATTGCAAGGCTATAGTCCGGTCATGCTGACTGGTGAAATTTTTGACTGACTGGTGAGACACCGCCAAATTTTTCAAGCCCTGATAATTACAGTATGTATTATTACAGTACTGAGGCACGTTGAGAGCTGAAAGAAGGAGAAAAAAAAAAAGGAAAAAAAAATCTATTGTCCTGACATGAGAGCTACGCAATTTGTTTAGATGTCTCGTGTTGCTTTTTGTTATCCATTTCTCTATAAAACAAATGTCAGTTAAGGTTAGAGATTAGCTTGGAACGATGCATTTGCCAGCGGCTTATCCAGAACCCCTTTCAGACCTTTACTTTGTCATCATCACCTGCACCTCACCCTGGAAAGGGCGACTGTAATTTCCCTGAAATCCTCCAGCAAACACCAAGAAAAACGATCTACTTTTCCTGAGTGTACTGTGGTGCCCGGAGCGCTGTGAAAGCTTTCCGTCCTGCTCTTAATCGCCTTTGTATTGACAATTCTCCAAGACGCTGTCCAATACATAAGGCCAACAAACAAAGGTGATCTCTGCAGCAACTGTACGCTTATTTCAAAGGCAATCTTCAAATCTGAGACAGTGAGCTGAGGAGATTAATTAAACAGTATAATGGAAAGACTCGCACAAGGTGTCCGGGCCAATACTAGTGATTGAAGGGAGGATAAAAACCACCACAAGGTTAAATCACACTCAAGGGGCTTTCACATGATCTCTCCTTGTTTTGTTTGTGTTACCATCTAAGTAAAGCAAATCTGTTACAGTGACAATAAACTCAGGAGTTAAATCTTAAAAATACAATTATGCACACGGCTTGAAACATTTTAGGGTGTCTCACCAGTCAGTCAACAATGTCACCAGTCAGCAGGACCGGACTCTAGCCTTGCAATTGATAAAAAAAATTTGGGACAGATAGAGCTTTCTTTTGATGGTATTTAATCACCGCTGGGGGAGGTTATTTTTTTCTACTATATAAAGAAAAAAGTACCGTAAATTTAGAAATGTACCATATTTTTGGTAAAATATAAAAGACGGGGTCACATCAAGTAAATAGACACCAAACATATCAAGCTTTAAAATTACACACGCCCGCAAAAAAAAAAAAAAAACCCCGCAAAAAACGACCACACCAAAAATTGTTCATAAAGCAATGCTTTAAACGGTTTTACTCATCAGTTTAGTGTGATCAGTGATTAATTGCCCTAGAATTATTGCTCTCACTCCGACATTCGCTATATGTAACACGTAGGCGCACCCGACGCATGTTTGCTCACTCCTCTGATGGACTACAATCTCAATACAAATTGGCTAACTAAATGCGAGATTGTAGTCCATCGCAGGAGGGAGCTATGAGTGGAGGCTACTCTACACCACACACAGGGACCGCAGGGATTCCCCCGTCCTCTCTGACCCTCCAGCGCTGACTAGAGAAACGGACGGCGGGAGGAGGCAGGCACACCTGGCTCTGCCTCTAGATAGCTTGCTATGCCTGTCACTCTCGCAGCTGGGTGGATCTCGACAGCATTGTCGGGATCCGTCCCGGCTGCGCCGCTCTCAGTATATAGCGAGCCGTAACTCGCGATATACACTGAGGTTTGGGTCACAGGAGGACGCTAGTATATGTCCCCCTGTGACCCTCAAGAGAACACTTCGGGTCGGGTAGGCCAGATCACAATAATTGGCTGCAGGGACAAGATCGTGAACCAAGTGATCAGTGGTTTGTGATCGCTTAGTTCTTGAGCTATAGAGCTGGAGTGTAACAGCTGTAGTGTCACAAGTCGGCTCCAACTAAAGGAACCATGCATTTCACTCTCCCCATAGTTCTCCTTTAACGCCAAGAGACAGGCTTCCAGATCACAATAATTGGCTGTCACAGTGATCATGTGACTGGGAGCCCATCTCTGAAACTGACTGGGAGTGGCTGGTGACAGTGTGGTCACTGTGCTGGAGGTGCCACGTGAGCACGTTCTCAGTAGAACACAGCAGTGCCAGCTGTATGCATATATGTGGCAGCCTAGAGTTAAAAGGAGAACTATGAGGTGAGTGAATTACACTCATCCCCATAGTTAGAGCCGACCTGTGACACAAACTGTCACACGTCGGCTCTATTGATTGTGAAGTGAGGGAAAACATACCGCCGCGTGCTCACTTCCTGATCATCTCCCTGCAGAGAGCCATGACTGTCAGTCACCGCTCCCCGCAGGGATTGCCCCCTCCCCTCTCAGATCCTCCAGTGCTGACTGGAGGGACGGACAGGGCAGGGGGCGGGCATAGCTGGCTCTGCCTCTAGATAGGCAGAGCCCACAGTCAATCAGCCAGTGGGCTCGATCTTAACAGTATTGCCAGGATTGGTCCAGGCTACGGCGCTCTCAGCATATAGAGGGCAAAAGCCCGCTATATACTGGAGTTTTGGATCATGGGAGGACGTTAGTATAGGTCTTCCTGTGACCCTAAGGAGGACTATGGGATAAAAAAAAAAGGTTACACCATAGTTCTCTTTTAAGACCCAGCACCATGCTGGACTTTAAATAGTCCAGCTATTTAAAAGAAGAAAAAAAAAAAAGGAAGAAGTAGAAAGCTGCAACAAAGTTTGGTAAAAGCCTTCAAATGCACACTGATCACCCAGTTTTTCCCCCTCAAAAAAGGTGAAGTTACACTTTAAAGTGACCACATAGCAGAATATGCATTTTAAATGACTACCAAATTTTCATAGATAAAGACCTTTGACATGGGTGAAGATATTTGACTTCTTGTTGCTTTGTGTAGCTGTACCGCCTCCTCAGCACTGCACAGCTGACTAGCTCTAAACCAGAGGAAACAATCAGCTTCAATGACGCAACTACAAGCTGAAACGCTTTTCTATGTGAAGCCGTGCGTTTACTTGCACAATGAAGCAAAGAGGGTGGTCACAGAACTTCTAGGGAAAGTTAAGCAAGCTGTGTGCAGATGACCTGCTCTTCCACTTAAGGAATGGAGCTTTCATTATGTTAACAGATTCTCTGTTACAACAAGACCTTCTGTTCAGTTAGAGGGAAGAAAACGCTGTACCTTCCATCCTGGTGACAGTGTCTAGTAGAATGTTGTACTCATTTGTCTTCTCTTTGTGATGGAGGAACTCCCGCCACAGATTATCCAGCTCTTCTTCTGAGAATTTCCCAGAGGTCTTTGCCTGCACAAATCAAAACAGTGACAACGCTAGATATCCACTTAGATTGGCAGTTTTATCTCAAATGTTCAATCTCAAATGTTCAATAACCAAATACATAACTATGTGCTTCAACCTATAATATCATTCCATTGATTTACCAGAACAATGAAAAGTCCTTTTGGTTGGCTACTCCATGGTGTCTAATGCAGGGCTGTACAAATCCCAGGAGCCAGGTAGCCAATGTGCCTTAAAAATTACAGCTGGCTCCCCACTTTGAGGTGTTCTCTAGTTGCTGTCAATGGAGTTGGCCCCTAAAAAATCCTGCTGTCTCCTGGATTGGGCAGACTGGCTCCTGAATTCCATAATGATTGGTCAAACCCTGGCCTAATGTATAGTAAGATAGCACTCCAGTAGGACTGCAACCAACTAATCGATAATGAATAGTTGTCACCTATTCTCATTACTGATTAGTTGGTTGGATCCCCTAGCTCAGTCTTCAATGCTGGGAGGAGGGCACAGCAAGCAGTGGGCGGGTGCAATAGCCAGCCTGCTATTGCAATTTGAAATGGCCAATAGCAGGCTGGCTATTGCACCCGCCCACTACCTGCTGTAATTACATTCAGCTGCCATCTGCAGAATCTTGCCACTGGTAGCCGTCAATCCCTGGCTGAAGCAATTCAAGTGCCATGTGCTTACATAAATTTTTTTTAAAAAAGTCATTTTTGGTTTCGGCCTGGCAAATTCTGCTGCGGGAGGCGCTGCAGTGCCATTCATTACAACGGCACCCCAAATGCACCTCCCACCCACAGTGTGATCGCCTGCACTGGAACACACCGAACCGCAATGCCATGCGTTCCAGTGCAGTTGCAAAAAAGTTTGTGCATGCATTTTTATTCTGAAGTAAACTTTATGTTTGTAGCATTCCATTTGTGTATTTTATTTTAAAATAAGGATGGTAATTATTTAATTTTTTTGATCTGATTAATCGATTATTCAAAAAAAAAATAATGGGGCAACTAATCGTTTATGAAAATAATCATTAGTTGAAGCCCTACACTCCAGTAAGGCCTCATCACACTGGCTACCCCCACACTGCAAGGGTTAAGAGCTCATTTGTGTCTAGGTTCTACAAAAAAAAGGTTATACTCACCTGGTGCTCTGAGCTGGCTTGTTCAGTCCTTCCAGTGTCTCTCCCTCCTCTGCAGCGGTCTAAGGTCCCGTAAATGACTATGTCTATAGGCAGTGTGTGAACGTGAGAAGGGTGAGGAATATCCCAATGCTGCAGCAGAGGAGGAGACAGGCTGGTGGGAGTGCTGTGACAGCAGGCCAGCTGCGTGCGAGTATATCTGGTATTTTTTTTTACACTAGACACAAACGAGCACCTAACAATGCATTAAGTGTAGCGGGTAGCCCCACTGCAAGGGTTAAGAAAATGTTTTCCTGGAGTTCTTTAATTGTCCTGATCACCAATGTCACCAGGAATGAAAGTGAGAGCAAGGCCATAATTCTGAGCTGCCACCACATCAACAAGAGTAAAAAGGGAAATCTTCCAACGGGGACACTTGTTCCCATGACAACTGTCTAAGAGGAGATTTACTTCACATTCAAAAAGACTTCCTCTTACTTCCTGTTGATTCTACAGGACAGGAAGTGAAGAAAAATCTCCATAATAAGCAGTTTTAACACTCCCCTACATTATTCAAAATAAAAAAGTTTGGATTTTTTTAATTTTAATTGCCCAGAGATCGTCCTCCTCCTCTACTTACCCTTGCAGTGTGGCTACCCCTGCCCTACAAAGGTTAAGTGCTTGTTTTGGCTAGAGAACACTATTAAAGCAGTTTTTACTTACCTGATCCTCCAGGCTGCTAGACTGGTCCCCACAGCATGTTCTCCCCTTCGCTCTGGCAGTCTAAGGACCACTGATGTCATAATGTCTTATGTAGATCTGCTGACTTGCATTAGACATGAGGACATGAAGGGACATTCCAACATCAGAAGCAGGTGAGCGCTGACCACCAGAGGAGACTGGAACCGGTACCTAAATCAACTCCTCTAGACAAAACGAGAACTTAACCCTCACAGTGCAGGGTTAGCCCCACTGCAAGGGTAACTTTATTCCTTGCCTGGAGATCTTCTTTAAGATATACTATAACTTGTGTAAAAGATATGTGAAAATCACAGGTGCCAAAACACAGTAACTGCTCCTGAAAATGGTCTTCCAAAAGGTATATACAGGGGGGCAGCTCCTCACAGTCAAGGGAAACCGAAAATCTGATGAGGACAAAAGCAAAAGGAGTGCCAGGTTCTGATGAAAGAGGTTTGCCTTCAGAAACGCGTCAACTGAAAGAGGGTCAGCGTGCAGATGGCTTCGGCTTAGTACTAGCACTTCCTTTCCCTCACCCTATTTTCGTGTATTCATCTTGATGGTCTCCTAAGATTATATCGCTTTCTGCTCGTTTATACAAGCTGGTTTGGAAGTACCTTTTCAGCTCTGTGTTTTATCATAATAAATCCATTTTACACTATGGAGGCGCTCCTTTTGCTTTGTCCTCATCATACTATAACTTGGTTGAAAGGAGATTCACTTTGTCCTGAATGGGATCAGATGGGGAGTCTCTTTAAAGAATAATTAGCAGGTCTTCACCCATTATCTTTGGATCAGAATCTATCCCTGGTTCTTAGTTGGATTTATGACATATGCTACAAGCAGCAGCCACCTACTGGCTTCAATGTGAAGTTTGATAGACTGAATCGTGGTCTGTAGACATGTCTCTAGACTGAATCGTGGTCTGTAGACATGTCTCTAGACTGAATCGTGGTCTGTAGACATGTCTCTAGACTGAATCGTGGTCTGTAGACATGTCTTTTTCTGATAGACTGAATCGTGGTCTGTAGACATCGTGGTCTGTAGACATCGTGGTCTGTAGACATCGTGGTCTGTAGACATCGTGGTCTGTAGACATGTCTTTCTGATTGACTGAATTGAGAAAACAAAGAATCTACTAAATGGAACTGGTAGCTGTATATGGCTCCAAATGCTTTACCTTGTTCCACATCTTCTCCAAACGTGGATCGTTCAGCACATCGTTTCCTGTGCCATCTTTCATGTAGTTACTGTCTTCAGTCTGTGCCTGCTTTTTGCCATCCAGTCCATACTTGGCCAAGATAACTATATGGGAAACATAAAATGTCAGAGACTTCAAGACTTACTGTGCAAAGGGGGGAGAAAACAACTGAATGAGTGCATTCATTGCTGATAAATACAAAGTACGAGATGAAACACGCTCATGTGTTAAGATTGAAGTGTACACAATAAACAAACAATAAAAGAAGTATACAAGCCACGCAATGAATGACATCAAAATAAGCACATACCAGAGAAGCAAATATGTTACTGGCTTTGGGGTCTTATTTTGACTTTCTAGAGCAGGGGTGGGCAAACTATAGCCCTCGAGCTGTGGTGCAACTTCAAATCCCAATAGGCATTGCAAGACTGACAGCCAGAGGCATGACTCCCTGAGGCAGACGCATGACTAGACCTGTAATTTCACCACAGCCGGATGGCTGGAATTCGCCTACTCCTGTTCTGCAGGATACCCCAACTCTATACAATCCCCTTCATCACCCCACTGACAAGTCTTGTCTTATACATGCCTGTCCCCCCTCCACCAAGTAAAATGTTGCCTGTGCAGACAATTGTGTCCCAACTCTTGCTCAAAGCAGCAAGAAACCGTTCCATGCTCAAGCTCATTATTTACCGGAAGCCAGAAGAACACCGAGCTCCACTCACAGCCAGAGACTAGGGACACGGACATGTAATATGTTCGGCACCCACGGCAGGTCAACAAAGGAACGGAACCCATACAGATCCGTTGATTGTAAAACCATTTATTCTGAAGGTCAGTTGGCCTCTTCTACATGAACATGTGAGGACGAGACACAAGAGCAGAGAAATTAGTTCATCAGACTGTTGCTGCTCCTTTACGGTCTAATCATAGGCTAGGGGCGAGGTGACCAACCTGAAATACTGAGCTCCAGCACACAAGAGGCAGGTGGTGACTTGTCCCTGGTCTACTGCAGCTCAGCATTACAGGATGGTCAGCTCCCTGCCCCAGCCTATGACTTGGCAGTAAGGGAGCAACAACAGACTGATGAGCTCATCTCTCTACTCTCGTCTCATCCTCACATGTCCATGTAGATGTGGCCAGGCTATGTACATTTCAGAACTACATGGACAGAAATGCAAATCCTTCCCCAGGAAAAAGAGCTCCTATATATTCATTTTAGCTGTGCGGCAGCAGTTTTCCTGCAGATTGCATTTAAAAGTGAACATAAAGCAGGTTTGCCAAGTTATAAGAGAATACTCACCACTGAGTGATCGCCTGAGTTTGGCTTCTTTTTCTCCATCGTCATCTAGTCCTTCAGCCTTCAGCTTTTTCCAGTTCAATTCATCCTTTTCTTGTATTCTCACATCACTGTGGAGTTCTGCCAGTTTTACAGGAGAAAGCTGGAGCTGAAAGACAAAAAGTTACCCATGAGGATATACACTCACCGGCCACTTTAGCAGGTACACCTGTTCAATTGCTTGGTAACACAAATTGCTATCACATGGCAGCAACTCAATGCATTTAGGCATCTAGATGTGGTGAAGACAACTTGCTGAAGTTCAAACTGAGCATCAGAATGGGGAAGAAAGGGGATTTAAGTGACTTTGAACGTGGCATGGTTGTTGGTGCCAGACGGGCTGGTCTGAGTATTTCAGAAACTGCTGATCTACTGGGATTTTCATGCACAACCATCTCTCGGTTTACAGAAAATGGCCCGAAAAAGAGAAAATATTGAGTGCGCAGCAGTTGTGTGGATGAAAATGCATTGTTGAGGTCAGAGGAGAATGGGCAGACTGGTTTGAGATGATAGAAAGGCAACAGTAACTAAAATAACCTCTCGGTATAACCGAGGTATGCAGAATACTATCTCTGAACACATTGAACCGTGAATCAGATGGGCTACAGCAGCAGAATACCACACCGGGTGCCACACCTGTCAGCTAAGAACAGGAAACGGAGGCTACAATTCACACAGGCTCACCAAAATTGGACAATACTGTAGAAGATTGGCTGGTCTATATTCTACATATTCAGATGGCCGGGTCAGAATTTGATGTAAACAACACGAAAGCATGGATCCATCCTGCCTTGTATCAACGGTTCACACTGGTGGTGGTGTAATGGTGTGGGGGATATTTTCTTGGCACACTTTGGGCCCCTTAGTACCAATTGAGCATCGTTTAAACACCACGGCCTACCTGAGTATTGTTGCTGACCATGTCCATCCCTTCATGACTACAGTGCACTTAGGGATATCCCGATACCGATGCAAGCATCGGTATCGGGACCGATACAGGGCATTTTGAGAAATCAGATCGATCAAATCTCTTCGACCCCCCCCCACCTGCCAGCTATACTTAACTTTCTGCAAAAAGTACTTACCCTCCGCCAGTACAGGCGTCCTTACCCCGTACTGTCCAGTGCATTCCTGCCCTATGCATTTTTAATTTTGCTCGCAAATTGCAAGCACTCATTGGTGAGGTGATTGGCCAGGAAGCCAGCTCCTTGCTGATTGGCCGCCAATCAGCATCAAGCTATCTTCCCGGCCAATCAGGTCATTACTCTCCGCCAGGTTTCCTGATTGGCTAGCAAGCTGGCTCGATGATGATTGGACGGGAAACCGGCTTCCCAGCCATTCACAATCAAGCCGGCCAAACAACATGGAGTTGGCTTCCCTGGCAGTCAGGAAGCCAGGTAGCATCTCATTAACCGCTGCCCGGCTTCCTGATTGCCCGGGAAGCCTGCTCCATGCAAACGGAAGCACCGATACTCGGTGAGTACTGAAAGCAAAATATTGGTACTCATACTCGATACCCAAAAACTGGTATTGGTGGATCCCTAGTTTTAAACTTTTAAAACTTTTTTTTTTTGTATTGGGACAAGTAGATTGTCATGAAGGACAAGTAGATTTGACCCCTGCTTTAGCCCTTGGATAAGTAGTTTTTTCTAAAATTTCCACACCCCTGCAAACACTTGACGCGTGTCACTGCTGCTCTGGTGGGCGGCGCACCAGGTGGGGTCCTAATTTAGGTGGCCGGCGACTGGCTGGAGGACCCCACTCAGAGCGCCGCCCACCGGAGCAGCAGTCATACAACGCTTCTCTTCAGCTCAGCGATGACGACGTCCTCACATGTGAGGAAAATCGTTCAGCACATCGTTCGGCACCACGATCGAGGCAACAGTAAGTGAGGGCCTGGGCCTAAGTGGGATGTTTTGTGTGAACAACAAGAATCTATTGCTGCAGTGTATTTTATATGTACTGTACATGTGTTACATATAGAATACACTGCAGCAATAGATTTACAATTCTACCCTGCTAATATGAATGGGTTAAATGATCCATAGTTCATAATATGTACATAACATGTAGCCCAGCACTGTCCAATAGAACACTTTTGGGATGTGGTGGAACAGGAGATTCACATCGTGGATGTGCAGCCAACAAATCTACAGTAACTGTGTGATGCTATCATGTCAATGTGGACCAAACTCTCTGAGGAATGTTTACAGCACCTTGTTGAATCTATGCCATGAAGAATTAAGGCAGTTCTGAAAGCAAAAGGGGGTCCAACCCGGTACTAGCAAGATGAACATAATAAAAGTGGCCGATGAGTGTATGTGTAATTGCCACCCATTATCTTTACAAAAGAAAAAAAATTATGTTATTACACAGGGCTCACCATCTAGCGAGGTACTGACCTGGGAACAAGTATGGAGCCAATGAGGTGTAAAAAGTCTCACTTTCCCCCACCACCACCACTGCATACCAGGTAAATTCTTAAAAAATAAAATATTAAAATACAGTGAGGGGAATTTTTCAAAACTGGAGCAGACAAAATTTGGAGCCGTTGCCCATGGCAACCAATCAGTTTCTATCTTTCATTTTAAAATCTTAACTGAACAAACTGAAGAGAGAAGCTGATTGGTTGCCATGGGAAACGGCTCCAGATTTTGTCTGCTCCGGGTTTGATAAATCCCCCTTTAGGGTATTAGGATAGCAGCAAGCATTTGCAGAGAGGTGGAAGCTGCCAGTTACCATACTAGAGGAGGGGTGGTTGGCAAGGTTTAGTGTACTTTGCCCATAAGACAAGGGTCAGAAATAACCAGCACAGAGGTTTTATTCAGTTAAAGCGGACCTTTACCTTTCACTAAAAGTCACCTCAGGATGCTGATAGGAACTCATTTTACATTAATTAGTTAAACAAACATATTTTTCTTACATTTTTTTTCTACCTCCTGGTGCATTTTGGCACAAATAATATAACATGCCCAAGCGTTGCATCCCGGGAAGGTTACAGCAGCAAACCTCATGAGATCTCAGGGAAAGGTAGTTTCCTCCCTGAGATAATGTGCATGGTCACATGTCCTAGTCACATGTGCCAATGTTCCAGGAAGTAAAGAGACATGCATTAATCCGCCCTTAGTAAAAATGGCCACCGTGAGAAGAATGAGGAATGAGAAAAAAAAATAAGGTGTGCAAAGAATAGAAATCCTGCAATTATCTGGAAGTACCGTATTTGCCGGCGTATAAGACGGGTGTTTAGACCCAAAAACATCGCCCGAAAATCGGGGGTCGTCTTATACGCCGGGTATACTGTATGTAACTTCGGCTACATACTGTATACCGCGCTGAGCCAATCACGGCAGGCTTTGTATTCATTAATACAAAGCCTATATTAATGAATACAAAGCCTGCCGTGATAGGCTCAGCGCGGTATACTGTATGTAGCTGAAGGACGGAACCCGGTATACTGTATGTAGCTAAAGGACGGAACCCGGAAGATGGAGGACACAGCGGGGATCGTGGACAAGGTAAGAGACTGTAATCGCGAGTGTGGCTCGGGGTTACCGCTTATGGTACTGAAAATTAACCCCGAGCCACACTCAGGAATACCGCCATGGAGGTTGGTGGGTGCATTTAAACATTATTTTGGCCTGTACTCGTCTTATACGACGAGTATAGCCCAAAACCTATAATTTTAAACACAAAAAGTAGGGAGTCGTCTTATACGCCGGCAAATACGGTATGTGTCTGTAGATTGTCATTACAAAACATTTCTAAAAAAGGTGTGTTTGTCGTCATTTCAAAGATGAGGTAAAAGTTCCTTTTTAAATATATCTGCATCCTACCAAGTGGTCTTTTCTATACATAATTATGTATTCATTGAATGTTCATCTTTACTGCTGTTTTTTTAATAATAGAACACAGGCTGCTGTAGTAATCTCCATATGAGGTCACACAACATTTAAGAGCATTCAAATTTCAACAAACCACATTCATTATTGCAGAGATTTCACAAGAATACTTTACACTGTGTACTGGATTGCTCAATGTACCAGCTGCAAAGCGTTGATACATTTTAATTCCTTTTATAATCCTTAAAGTGTGCATCTAAACCCAAAAACGGTAGTATATTGCAGTTTACCTATCCTATATAGAGTACTACAAATCCCAGCAATAGTACATTATGGCTGGCGATATTCTGAATTGCGCTGTATAATGTACTATTGCTGGGATTTGTAGTCCCCTATACAGCGCAATGCTGAATACCACCAGCTATAGAGGAATACAACAAATCCTAGCATTACATTATACATACAGTGTATAATGTATTGCTGGGATTTGTAGTCCTCTGTATAATATACAGCACAATGTACCATCAGCTATAGAGGAATACAAATCCTAGCAATACATTATAGAGCACCACGTGTGGGAAAGTGCAGGCTTACCTGAGCAGGCTTCCAGCAACTTGCTTCTGAGATCGGGCCTGTCATCCCCCCACACCTGCTCCTCCTTACTACTTCTCCCCGTGCCGATCGTGGATGTGGGCGGTGAGCGCGAGGCGGAGGTACGGCGTGTGTAGTGTGCAGGTCTGGCAGCGGCGAGCCTGAGGTGGGGAGAAGGTGCGGCGCGCAGCGTGTGTGGAGCCGTGAACAGGGCCAACTAATTGGAAGCAGATTAAATCGATGATTGAAAAAGTTGACAACTTTTTCAATAAATCGATTAGTTGTTGCAGCTCTAGTCTGATGGCTGCATTAGTTTTCTTTTTTTTAAGGTTTCTTTTCTATTTTCACCTGGGAAAAGGGCTAGTAACACACTGATTGTCTTAGGGTGGCCCACTCAATGGATGAGCAACAGAGCCATAATTGGGCAGCATTGTTCTTGATGAAACAGCTGAAATTCACACAGTGGGTTTTGCTGTCAGCACCCTTTCAGCCGGCATCCCTTGTTCAGCTGAATGAAGGAGGCAGTCAGAAAATCTTGACTAAACAGAGTGGTCAGCCAATCAGCTGCTGGCTATGTTCAGGCATTCTGACAGCTGGCAGCTCATAAGCATTGATGGACGAATATTTTCTAGGGCTGTAACCAACTAATCGATAATGAGAATAGTTGTTAACTATTCTCATTATCGATTAGTTGGTTGGATCCCCTAGCTCTCTCCTCCATGCTGGGAGAAGGGCACAGCAAGCAGAGGGTGGGTACAATAGCCAGCCTGCTATTGGCTATTACAATTTGAAATGGCCAATAGCAGGTTGGCTATTACACCCGCCCACTACCTGCTGTATTTACATTCAGCTGCCATCTGCGGAACCTTGCCACTGGCAGCTGTCATTTCCGGGCTGAAGCTATTCAAGCACCATGTGCTTACTAGGGCTGCAACAACTAATCGACATAATCGATTTAATCGAGTGCTTACATTACAATTATTTAAAAAAATAAATAAATTATATATACAGGGCTTGAAAAATCCACTCGTCTGCTCGTCAGTGACGAGAGGACGATGGAGCCCGACGAGCAGCTTCCCAGCCGGCCGTTGTAATTACACGGCCGGCCGGGAGCTTTACAGTCAAGCGATTGAGCATCTCGAGAGACGCTCGATCGCTTATATCAGCAGCTGTCACTGCCGTTGCCAATCCCCAGATCCGCTGTACCTGATGCGGCCGGGACCGGCACGGCTCTGTGACAGGAGATCAAAAGGGAGTTCAGTATACGAACTTCCTTTGATCTCCTCTCAGTCCCCGAATGCAGGAAGTGATGTATATAATATCACTTCCTGCATTCAGTGTCACTCTCCAGCTAGAGAAGCTGATGAAGCCGATCTGTGCTTCATCAGCTTCTCTGGAGGTCCTTAGGTGACATTAGGGGTCTTGGAGACCCCTGATGTCTCCATAAAGAGGTCCTGTCATGTAAATTGGCTATCCCATAGGGGGGCTTCTTAGCCCCCCATGTAATAGCAATAAAGTTGTGTGTGTAAAAAAAAGAAAAAGTAATACAAAAATGAAAGATTCATTAAAAAAAAAGAAGCATAACATTTATTTTAAGTCCGCGCCCCCCACATACACACGCATATATGCGTCAGGTGCGCCTACATGCCGCACATGTTGCATATTGCCGCAAACGTCGGAGTGAGAGCAATCATTTTAGAGCTATTAAGGCCGGGTTTACACCTGGGCGTTTTTACAGCGCTGATCGACGCGCTGTAAAACGCCCTGCAAGTGAAATCCCATTATTTCCTATGGGCATGGTTCTCACTTGGGCGTATTTCAGCGTGTCGGAACGTGCTGAAAAATGCCCTACGCCCAAAGAAGTACAGGAGCTTCTTTGGGGCGTATTTCCGCGCGTATCCATTAGGATACAGCCGGATAGCCCTCGTAAACGCGCGTTTGACGCACGTTTTGAGGGCTGCAAATCGCGGTTAAAACATGCACCCCAAAACGCGCGTCATACACGCATATTTCGAACGCCAAGGTGTTCAGACCCTCCCATGAGGATCCATCCGGTACAATACACCTGTGGGCAGCTTCTGGATTCCACTGCCCTGACTTGTAAAGTAAACCGGTGACACAATCTTCTGAAATTACCAGCTGCCCGGCTTTTATTCTGACCAGTAGCTGGACTTTGATAACTACAGCTTGTAGGCTCTCAGGGCTCATTCACACCAGCACCGCTGGGCAGTGTCACCCCACGCAGTCCCAACGCAATTTTCCTTATGTCATTCGCCTTCAGTACCCACCAAAGTGCTGCGTTGGCATGTGCTAAAGAAAAAAAAAAAAAGAGGGAAGCACCGCAATGCATTATAGCAGGAAGGGGCAACCTCAGCCCTCCAGCTATTGTAGAACTACAAGTCCTATGCCAGACTCCGATAGACATAGGCATGGCCCCCAGAGGCAAATGTATGATGGGATTCGTAGTTTCCCTACAGCTGGAGTTCCAAGGTTGCCTACTCCTGTGTTATAGCACCACAAGTTCACATCGCACACCAGCGCAAATGCTATCGCACACCAGCGCAAATGCTTCAGTGCATTGTTTCTCCTTTGCAAGCAAATAAAACCAACAAAAATAAAATATGGAATATGCCTCTGAACTTGATCGAAAATGCGACTACTTTATGTAGACAATTCCCTACCATAGCTGACATCACATGCAAGATGGCAACAACCAGTAGCATTCTCATGGCTCTTGTATGTCTACATAATGGACGATATTGCAGGAAAATAACATGCATAACATTCATTAAATGCACATATAATTTTATACGAAGACTGTTGTCAAAAAGGAATTCTCCGGCCTATTACAGCAACATGTGTATTAAAGCCATAACAGTGTATGGAAGGTCACATGACCTTGGCCCAGTTCTATATGTCCCCCATGTACACAGCAGTCTATGGATGATGCCACATGACCCTGGTCCAGGTCTGTATGTCCCCATGTATACAACAGTCTATGGAAGAAGTCACATGACTCCCGCAGACAGCCCAGCGCAGGCATGCAAGGAGGTCACGTGACCGCGCATCACTCACCCTCTGCGCTTTCTCCCAGACCTGGTTGAGCTTCTGTATGCGAAACTCCACACCCTCCGCCCGGTTCTCATTCTTATCCCGGGAATACTTCCCTCCTCCGCCCGCCCGGACACCCAGCACCGACAGCGAGCACAGCAACAGCAGCCAGCGACACACAGCGGAGATCATCATGCCTGCCGAGCTAAGCCGAGGAGCACAGGGACACTGGAGAAGCCGCCGGCCGCTCCGCCTGTGTATTGGTCAGCTCCTGCCGCTGAACACGATCTGGATCCTGACTGGTTGAGAGGAGGCACGTGGATCCGCCCCCTCCTGGACTAACCCTTACCGCGCTAGAGGGAAGTGAATCCATCAATGCTTCTCATAGTCTGAAGATGCTGGGTGGCTGCTTTATTAAAATCATCAATACAATCATCAATATATAAGTACAATCATTAATTAAGTCAGTAAATCACATTAAAAAACATCAATCACACTACAAAATCATTAATCACAGTGCAAAAGCATCAATAAAATAATCTATCACATTGTCATATCAATAAAATCATCAATCACATCATCAATCACATTGTAAACCCCATCAATAAAATAATAAATATAATCATCAATAAATAAATCAATCACATCGTAAACTTATTAAAAAAAAAAACAATTAACACACTCTAAGGCCTGGTTCATGCTAAACGTTTTGCAGCGCTTTTTCTGCCCTAAAAAAATGCTAAGAAAAAAAACGACCCCCCAAAAATCCCATTCATTTCTATGGCCCTGTTCACATCTGAGCGTTTTGTCGCAATAAGCAATAAGTGTGTTTCTGGAAAAAGTGTGTGAACTTTTTTTTGGGCATATTACAACTCGTTTTAGCCCCATAGACTCAATAGGACACGCTTGAAAACGCACATTTGCTTTGTTTTTGTGTGTTTATATGCACGTTTTATGCGTGTTTGCTCATTAACATCAATGAACTACAATCTGCTCACACGCAATTTGATTTATGCACATAAAACGCACATAAAAATGCACAAAAACAAGCCCAGCCTAAGGGCCATTCACACCAATTGCGGTGCGTTCCAGAGCGGTAGCTGCTGGAACACACAGTAATCGCACACAAAACTCCCCCCTGGACCGGAATGCAGGCAATGTTTTGCCACATGTCTGATCGCACTGCGGGCAGGGGGCGTGGCTGCGGTGCATTAAAGTCAATTGCACTTTCGCCCCAGAACGGAGGGGGAGTTTAGTGTGCGATTACTGTGTGTTTCAGCTGCTACCGCTCTGAAACGCACAGCAATTGGTGTGAACTAGCCCTTAAATCATCAATAAAATAATGAAACCTTATGGGAAACCTTCAGCTGAACTATGAATCCAGTTTATGCTGATTACAGCCCAGCAAAGTTAAAATAAAAGCGTCACCCCCTGCTTAGATTAGAGTGGCTAGATTTTAGTTAAAGGCACTGATTGTTGCATATGGAGATTTCCAACTGTGAGCGGGTTCTGATCCTTCACACTACTATGAAGAAGAATTAATAATTATAAGAGCTAACCTTTCACCAGTGTCAGACGAGGAGCACAGCAAGTCCCAATGCTTGTGGGAGTCATACAAGTTTCGGCAGATATAGCATTGCTCTAAGTAATGTATCTGCCCATCAAGGGGAAAACAAGTTCTTAGCAGCTCTGCCATTAGAAACTGTAAAAGAAAGTTTTTTCCTTAGACTGGATTTTTATTTATTTCAGCCTCGAGTAGAAAAAGCAGTTTCATTGCTAATGATGGCCCTTGGCATGCTTTCAAAATGATGGTAATTTATATCGCCATGAGAGCTGTGGACAGATCCACAGAGCGAGTGTTTCCGCCATCTTGATCTGCCAGGAAAAGCTCAGCGATAGACCTGACCTTTCTGATCCTGGCTAGAGAGCGCCTGACATGCTGTTAGCAAGACAAATGGTGAAATTTAGTTTTATTGGCTGCCTCATGTTGTACATTTATTTTGTTATTTCCCACTCAATAACTATCTATATTTATTATAAGTGTAGCGCCCTCTAGAATGTCACTATCAAATTTAGTAAATATCTGGATTGTAACCAGTCTAGACACTGATTATTCAGAATTCTGCATTCAACAGGTGTCCCTGAGTTTGCTGGATTGATTGCTCCTCCTGTTGCTGAGGAGAGGGGTGCCATGGCATATAGTGAGGGAGGATCCATCCTCAGACTATGACTGTGTATTTGACCTTGACCAATCCCTGAGTAGGATGACTCAGAGGCATGGCTGAGGGCAGGTGATAAAAGGTTAGGGGACACTGTGCAGAACTCTCTCTTCCCTCCTGGGGCCTCTCCCTAGGAGGTCTGTGTGATACAGATGACTGGCCTGGGCTTCAGCACATGGCAGGTGCTGGGGGCCTAGAGGCATAAGACACCACAGATACTTTACTTGGGCCCCATACACGTGGCAGGTGTTGGGTGCCTCGATCTAGAGGATACTACCACAAATCTGGCGTGCACCTCAGCAAGTGGCAGATGCTGAGGGCACAGAGATTCCAGATACTTCTGAAGAAGAGACCTGATGGAAGCTGGGCTGGAGGTGGAGACCTCATCTCGAGGAGTGTGTCGCAGAGGAGCTGGTGAGAGCTACCGTCTGGGCCCTACAAGAGAGATCCCTAACCCTATTCCAGGTGTCTGCTATAGAAGAAGCCAGCGGTTCTTGTCTGAGTCCAGAGATAGCTACCTTTCTCCTATAAGTTACTGGACCATCCTGGCTGTTCGCAGTATTGTTAAAGAAACCATTGGTTACTCTGACCGGACAGAGCCGGCGCTAGCACAAAGCAACATGGGCAGCTGCCTGAGGGCGCCAGGGAACAGGGGCAGAGAAAAGTCTGCTGGGCAGTGACAGTCGTCGGCATAAGTCCGTCGGCCATCCAATCGAGATCTGTGTAGGCTGCAGCTGCGGCATCTGAAGGACAGAGTGCCCGCCGGCCGCCGCTGACCAATGCAGACAGTTCTCAATATCAGGGCAGCGTTATGGGGAAGCACTGAGCAGTCCTCTTGGCTGCGTGTGACGGCAGTGAGTGACGTAAGTGGCCCCGCCCCTGGTTCCCCTGGCCGCTCAGCCGCCCTCAGGCATGTGATGGAGCGAGGGCTGCAGGAGGAGGAGCAACGGACGGACGCAACAGCACGCAGTCTGGAGGCGACCTGTTGAGGGACTCGGGAGCCACCCGGGAGCACAGTCTGCTGCTGCACAGATTTGGAGTGGAACCGAGCGAGGACGGTTTTCTTCACACGGTCACCCGTGGTGACCCACCCCAGACCAGACACATCGGACTCGTCTCGGCGTATCGGGAATCGGGATCGGGAGCTGGCTGAAGCGGGAGCGGAGGTGAAGTGATATAGAGCGGGATGTAACAAATGTATTGTGCATGGTATGCTGCATTGTATTGTGCATTGTATAATACAGCGGCACAATGCAGAACACCAGCAGCTATAGAGGAACAACAAATCCCAGCAATAATACATTATACAGGCTGGTTAATATATTATTGCAGGGATTTGTTGTTCCTCTATAGCTGGTGGTATTCTCCATTGCGCTGTATAATGTATTATTTCTTGGGATTTGTAGTTCCTCTATAACTGGTCAGTGGTATTCTGCATTGCGCAGTATAATCATTATACAGCACACTGCAGAATACCACCAGCTATAGAGGACTACAAATCCCAGCAATAATATAGAGCTGCAACAATTATTCGATTAAGTCGATTAAAATCGACAATGGAAAACGTTGTCAATGTTTTCCATCGTCGATT